TTCTCCCTAAATAATCAAGGCCAAACGGGTACTTAGTATGTTCAATCTTTTATAATCAACAATTGTTAAACTCTTAATTCAGAGCAAGAACACATCTGTTGAGATCTGGGTTGATAGCATCTCGTTGCAACCATTCACTGAAAAGCAATGGAAGTCTCATCAACATCAAAGCATCACAAAGGTGAGTTTGATCAGGCCATATAATTCATCCAAAACTAATTTGGCCAAAGTGAAAAAAAGCTAACCATACACTTTTTTTTGCAGACTCGAAAGAGCAATGTGAAGGTTCAAGCAGTTGATGAACAAGGCAAACCACTAGCCAACGCAACAATCATCATCCAACAAAAGGCCCCAGGCTTCCCTTTTGGTGTTGCCATCAACAAGAACATCCTCACCAACACAGCCTACCAAAACTGGTTCACTTCAAGGCCCTTCACCGTCACGACATTTGAAGATGAAATGAAATGGTACAGCACAGAGTCATCTCAGGGCCATGAAGACTACTCTGCCGCCGATGCCCTGCTTCAGTTTGCAAAGCAGCACAACATTGGAGTCAGAGGACACAACGTGTTCTGGGACGACCCCCGCTACCAACCTGGTTGGCTCAACTCACTCTCCGGCCAACAGCTCTCTGATGCAGCCTCCAAGAGGCTGAATTCTATCATGGGGAGATACAAGGGACAAGTTATAGCTTGGGATGTTTGCAATGAAAACTTGCACTTCAACTTCTTTGAGAGTAAGATTGGTGCATCTGCTTCAGCCATGTTCTATAATTGGGCTCTTAAAGCTGATGGAGCAACCACATTGTTCATGAATGAGTATAACACCATTGAGGAGAGTGGAGATGGAGATTCGATCCCAGCTAAGTACCTTCAAAAGCTGAGAGACATTCAAGCCTTTCCGGGTAACAATAATGCGAAGATGGCGATTGGACTCGAGTCACATTTCACCACTCCAAACATTCCCTACATAAGATCTTCTATTGATACTCTTGCTGCTGCAAAAGTTCCGATTTGGATTACAGAATTGGACGTTACAAGCGGCCCCAATCAGGTAAGATAATGCGCCTCTCCACCTACTGCCAATTATTGGTTTTGTGTCGGATACCTTAAATGTGATATGGTCACGTCACATGTGAAGGGGCATGTTTGATTATGATAAAAATCCCACTTCTTATAATTTGCTAATATTTTTTGGGTTATATGGGCAGGCATCATACTTGGAGCAAATTCTAAGGGAGGTCCATGCACACCCTCAGATTCAAGGCATTGTTATTTGGTCTGCTTGGAATCCTCAGGGATGTTACAGAATGTGTTTGACAGACAACAACTTCAAAAACCTGCCTACTGGTGATGTTGTTGACAAGCTCATACATGAATTTGGTTTGACTTCCGGCCTGGCTTCTGGCATGACGGACCCTAATGGTTTTTTCGAGGCCTCCCTTTTCCAGGGCGACTACGAAGTGAAAATCACTAACCCTTCTGTGGAAAACTCCTCCTCAGTTCAGGGTTTGAATGTGGGACCAACTACTGAGTCCCAGCAACAATTGCTGCTCCAAGTTTCTGCTTGAGTTTTTGTTCACTTGGGTGTTTTGTTCTCATTTTGATGGAAGACCAATTTTAAGTGTAGGAAGATTGGGGGTGTATTCAATTAAGATTTTAATAAATTGTAATTACAAAATTATAATGTAATGGATTACAAGATTTTAATATATTGAAATTACAAGATTTTACTTATGATTTTAATAGATTGTAATTTCACATAGGACTCTTTTGTATTCTCCGAAATAGATTTGCCCAGTGTAGATTGGATTTGGGTTAGCCATGTTCGCCCAACCCATGACCACTCCCAGTTTTTGTCAAGACTTGGACCAAAAATTGTGGGGTTAAAAAACACACTTTTTTTTAGCTGCTTGTGGCATAATCTCATATTTAGTTTGCTTGTAGTTTTTCGGGCAATTGATACTTTCGGACTCCTCCTTTATACTTCACATTTATCTCTTCTCACCACCACCCTAATCTTCTCATCCTCTACCCACTTCACTTGAAATTCCACATCAACTCTCACTGCAATCTTTAGAATCTTTTCAACAAGTTTCTCATTCATAACTTCCCTTGGGGGTCTGGCTCCATGCCCCCAAGGAGTTAGTTTGCTGGGCTAGGTGATTTGACATTCCAGTCTGAAGATGTATTTATTTGTTTTTTATGCCTAGTATGGTGTAGTTTTTTCAGTTAGTTATATGCTATGGTGTGTTGGTGGTTCTTTTTAGATCGGTTCTTGCAGGGGACAGTGCGCGTGAGTTATTATGGTATTTCATGAATGACGTATTCAGTTCAAAATAATAATAAAAAATTGGTCCCCAAACAGTGGCCATGTGAGCAAAGGCACATCACAAATGCCTTCCAACGTGGAATTCTGGCGACAATGTGTCAAGAACCCACCAACATTCACGGTTCATCTTCTCCCAAAGGAAAAATAGATATTCATCTTCTCCCAAAGGAAAAATAGAAAGAACTTAAGAATCAGGCATAGGAGTGTGAGATTTGTTATGAGATTTGGTATTTATATTACCCACTTAAAAGTCTCACACAATACACCATTTAATGAAATACTTCAAAATCGATAAGTTTTTAAGTACCATAATACTTTTATTGGCTATTTAAAACTCATAATTGAATACCAACGTACTTTTATTGATGATTTAAAAATCTTAATTGAATATCACTGAACTTTTAAGCTTCAAAACAATATATTAAAATCCCAATTGAATATACTCTGAAAATTTTTGCTTGAGAGCGGCTTTAGAAATTCTACAACTTTTGTTATGAATAACTCTTTACACGTTATATTGAGATTAATTGGGGATGTAATCTGTGCTTATTGTTGCCATATGAAATAATGTCTCCAAGTCCAAATGGCCTTCAAATGGTATCCTCAATTCTCTTGTGGCATCTCGTTTTTTTTTTTGGGATACATAGAGAGGGGAATTCAAACTCGGGTGCAGAGTGGTGAGCACTTTGCACTAACCAACTTGGCTAAGCCCATGTCTGTGACATTTTTTGTTAAGCTGCAAAATATTAAGTAAACTTTTGATAAAAATATAAATAGATTAAACATTAGAAGACAACAACCCTTGCCTCCCCTTGCTTTTTGCCATAGCAAATGAGTGGAAATGCTCTTACACATGGAATAGAATTCTTCATGCGCGAAATACTTTAAAATAGGGATTTAGGCTGAAAACAAACAACCAAACTGTGGTGATTTTACAAATTGATATAATGGTCATTTTATTTAAAAAAAAAGTATAATGGGTGTGAAGAGATATGAATTGGGTGTAAACAGTTTGTGTTTTTTTTTTTTGGGGTTATAATTTTTTATACAAGTGATAATTTACTATAAATTAACATACTCAAAGGAAGGGTGTAAACATAATTCACCTTGCACAATAAATTACTATAAAAAAATTTATAATTTAATGTGGTGGCAAGACCACGATAAAAGTCAAGCAGATCAAAGCAAAGAAAAACCAAGCAAATGATATGGATCTGATTCAAAATTAGGTGCATCGGGGCCAGCTCATTGCCCTAGCCACCTAGTCTAACCCACACCTCCTAGATTAATATGCTCTAAATTAGTTTCACTTAACTTTGTTGATATTGACACTCTAAAATAGTCATATGCAATCCTTAAATAAATAATAATAATAATAAACAAAGGAGTACATAATATTTTTTGCAATGTTCACTAATTGTATTTTAAGCTGCAAAATATTAAGTAAACTAAAAATATATATAAATTAAACATATTAGACAAAAACAGAGGTTATTTTAGAATACCTCATATTGTTTCATATTTTTCTTCTTCATTTTCCACTTCATGATTGTGCCAATCGAACCCAGGACCCGTTGGAGATTGTGTGGATCACAAAACCACGGGGCCGGGAAGATCGGCATTCTATTTCCTTTAAGTTAACTTATTTAACTCTTACATCTAAAACGAAATTCATTATGCGCGAAATAATATAAAATAGGGTCAGGCTGAAAACTAAATGGAGCAAAAGGGCTCTCTGGCTCCTGTTTCTGTTTATTTATGGACATTGACCAATAAAATTTAGAGTCCAAATCCACATCATAGGCCGGAATTTACTCACTGTGGTAATTTTACAAATAGATTTAACGGTATTAAAAAAAAAAAGATAGTGGGTATTGAGAGAGAGACATGAATTGGGCGTAAACATTCACCTTTCTTCATTTTTATACGAACGATCATCCATCTTAAATTAATTTAATCTAAAGTGGGGGATTCGAACTTGGATGTAAGAAGGCGGGAGCAGGCTTATTGTCTTGACCAACTGACCTAACTAACCAACGTCTACCGCCTTCCTTGGTTAATATGCTTTAAAATAGTTTCATTTAAGGGAGATTTTGACACTACAAAATACTCATATGCACTCCCTTAAAAATAAAAAAATAAGAATAAAGGAAGAATAGCAGAATGCTTATTTATGAGTGTTAATAACAATTTATTTTTATTTAAAAATACCAGAACGATCCAATTTCCATAAATATATCGGTTTGGATCCTTCATAATTATCTCGAGATTCAGATGAGTATTTCATAGGATAACTTACGGAATCACTTCATACGTAGTCCACAAGTCATTGGCAGTTATATTAGGAATTTAGGACAGTCCAAATTCAACTACAATAAAATTGGTTTAATTATAAATACAAATTTTAGTCCAATGAATATGTGATAGTAAAATGCAAAAAAATAGCTTCTTTTTTTTAATTTTTTTAATTTTTTAAATGGATCATTTATTCTGGGTATCCGTTTCATATCCTTTATTTACTGCCAATCTAGCCATGCATGTTGATTGCCTTTTAAATCTCTCTCTAAAAATACAATGCATAGTTCTTTTGGTCAAGAAAATACAAGCCTATATATAATCTCCTTTATCTACCAACTCTCTCTCTCTGGGTTCATAGCAAACAACACACAATGAAGATTTTGAGACAAGGCTTTCTGCTTCTGGTGTTATGTACTTTTATTTTTGCAGGTATGTTCCTTTTCTTTTTCCCTTTTGGTTGCACTCGAAATAAGCATGCTTAATGTGAAAAGCTTGTGAGAGATTTGACTGGTTGGGCCCACTGGTTGACTAATGACTGGTTTACATGTTTGTATTATTTTCTTTTGATTTTCTTCACCTTCCAAAATGGTGTGCAGGGTTTGAAGTGAGGGCATTAACCTACGATTACTCAGCCAGTATTGAGGCAAGCTACACTGCATTTCTTTCCTTTTGTTATGTTTAAAGAGAAAGAAAAAAATGTAATAAATCTAAAATTGTTTCCATATTTTTCCTTTTTTTGTTCTTCAGTGTTTGGCAACTCCTCTCAGACCTCAATACGACGGAGGCATCATTGTAAATCCAGAACTAAACCATAGCTTAGAAGGATGGTCTTCTTTCGGCGAAGCAAAAATGCAACACAGAGAATCATCAGAAGGCAACAAGTTTGTTGTGGCTCATAGCCGAAATCAATCGCATGACAGTATTTCTCAGAAGATTAACTTGGAAAGTGACAAGCTCTATACATTTTCCGGTACATAATTCATTTCCGTTTTCCTGAAATTAATTTTTATTTATAACAATAACTAGTTAGATGATTATTGCCTAATGCAACTATAATTTGTGTTTGATGCAGCTTGGATACAGGTAAGTAATGGTAGTGCTCCAGTAACAGCTATTTTCAAGACTAGTAGTGGGTTCATACATGCTGGTGCAGTTGTTGCGGAACCCAAATGCTGGTCCTTGCTCAAGGGTGGCCTCACTGTCAATGCCTCGGGTCCTGCTGAGTTATATTTTGAGGTAATATTAACATCAACAAAAGTTGAATGCAATGTTCTCTTGTCAGACTGTATGAACTTACGTTGTGCGAAACTATAAAACAAGGTTCATAGATATGTGATATATATATATATATATATTTCCTAATTTACGCGAAACTTTGCAGAGCAATGACACATCTGTTGAGATTTGGGTTGATAGCATCTCATTGCAACCATTCACCGAAGAGGAATGGAAGTCTCATCAAGACCAAAGCATTGCAAAGGTGAGTCTGATCGTTGAAGGTTTGTCGATGATGATATATGTAGTTTCGATAGGGTTTCTTTTTAAGGAGACAAACTACATATTTGTTTGCAGATTCGTATGGGAAATGTGAGAATTCAAGCAGTTGATGCACAAGGAAACCCTCTAAAAAATGCAACAATCTCTATCCAACAAAAGGCTTCAAGTTTCCCTTTTGGGTGTGCTATCAACAAGAACATCCTCACCAACAATGCGTACCAAAATTGGTTTACATCAAGGTTCAGAGTAACAACATTTGAAGATGAAATGAAATGGTACAGCAATGAGCCTTCTCCTGGCCGTGAAGACTACTCAGCAGCTGATGCCATGCTTCAGTTTGCAAGAAGTCACGGCATTGCAGTTCGAGGCCACAACGTGTTCTGGGACGATCCCCATTTCCAACCCGGTTGGGTCAACTCACTCACCAAACGGCAACTTTTCTCGGCCACTTTCAAGAGGGTAAATTCTATCATGCACAGATACAAGGGTCAAGTTATAGGGTGGGATGTTGTCAATGAAAACTTACATTGGAATTTCTTCGAAAGCAAGCTGGGTTCGAAGGCCTCAGCCCTCATGTATAACTGGGCTGTTAAAGCTGATGGAGCAAACACCTTGTTCATGAATGAATTTAATACCATTGAGGAGAGCAGAGATGGAGCATCCACGCCAGCTAGGTATCTCCAAAAGCTGAGAGAGATACAAACCTTTCCCGGTAACAGAAATGCACGGATGGCGATTGGGCTCGAGTCTCATTTCGTCACTCCTAACCTTCCTTACATAAGATCGTCCATTGACATCCTTGCTGCTACAAGATTGCCTATTTGGATTACGGAATTGGACGTGCAAAGCGGTCCCAATCAGGTAAAAGTCGATCTAGGGTTTTAGACTAGATAGGGTTTTACCACTATCTTCAAAGTTGAAGCTCTTAGGCAAGAAGTTCTAAGTACAATTACTAATTTATGACTACTTTTCTGTTTATATGGTCAGGCGTGGTACTTGGAGCAGGTTCTAAGGGAGGTACATGCTCACCCACAGATTCAAGGAATTGTGATTTGGGCTGCTTGGAATCCTCAGGGATGTTACAGAATGTGTTTGACAGATAACAATTTCCGCAACTTGGCCACTGGTAATGTTGTTGACAAGCTACTTTATGAATGGGGTTTGAAGGCCTCTGCTTCTTCTGGCGCAACAGACTCTAATGGTTCCTTTGAGGCCAATCTATCCTATGGAGATTACGAATTGGAAATTAGTCACCCCTCCGCGACGAACTCCTCCCTGGTTTTTAAGTTCAATGTGTCATCAACTACTGCATCCCTGCAACCATTGCGGCTCCAACTTTCTGCTTGAATTTTTTTTCTCTTTGCCTACTTTGTTCCCATTTTAATTTTTGAAAGAAATTCCCAGTGTTTATGTTTGGCCTATGAATAGTCTTCCAGGAGACCTATATTTGAATGGAATATAACAGAAAGAAATAAAATCAAAATCGTTTCACCAATTGATAATTAACATGCACTAAAAAAAAAATTACCGAAAAAAAAAAAGACAAAATGGGTATAGCTGTTCCATGTTCTCATATTGTTTTTTTATTATAAAATATTATGTGTAAAACTTTTAATTTATGACATGTTTACTAATCCCTAATTGGATTAGGAAGAATTAAATTGAGGATGAATTGAATTGAGGAAGAGTTAGATTGAGGAGAATTAGATTTCATATTCCTATTGAGGTTGTTTATTAAACCATATGGATTGAGGAGAGTTAGATTCTGTATTCCTATTGAAGTTATTTACTAAACCATATAGAATTGGGGTAGGAGTGATATTAATTACTAAAATGTTCTCGTTGTTAGGTTAAGGTAGATGTCAAATTTATTGGCAAGAAAAAAAAGGTAGATGTCAAATTTGGAATTTTTAAAAATTGTGCTAGGATATAATGGGTAAAAAAGATGAATTCCTAATGAGTTAAGGAATCCTCCATATGTGAAATTCAATATAATTCCTAATTAGTAAATGCAATGTTTATTTCTTATTATTTTCATTAATGAAGGCCATCTTAAAGGTTGGTAATGACAAGTTTGCTATATAGAAGGAAGCCCAGCATCGTTCAATTGGTCATGAAAAGTTGCTATATAGAAGGAAGCCCGCCATTCTTCAGTTGGTCATGAAAAGTTGCGATATAGAAGGAAGCGCGCCATCGTTCTTTATCATCATCGTGATTAAGGAAAGCAATTGCAAGTATCATAATTTCTGCTAATTGAGGGATGGTTATGTACTCTTACCATATATATATATATATTTTACAGATACGATATTGCATTAATATAAGCAGCTTTCGTCTCCCTGGATACATTGCACCATATCTCTCAATATATCTCTCTGGCTAGTCTCTGCTTCTGCATCCAGCACTCTCTCTCTCTCTCTTTACTGGTTTAGTCTCGCTTCGTGATGAAGAATGTTGGGGGAAGACACAATCTACTGCTGCTATTAAGCACTTTCTTTTTTGGAGGTATGTTATGTAGAAAATGTATTATTACCTGTTAGAGCTTTTAGGGATGAGCTTTTTTGCCACGGCAGGTTTCGTCACGAATTACACCATTTAATCATGAAATTGATACCCTTTAGAGAACATCAAATTTCTGTAATGGTGGAACCAATAAGCAACTAATTTGAATTTGTTGCTAAACGCATTAATTCCAGTTATCAGCTCGTGACTTGTAAAATTGCCATGGTTGACACCTGTAGCTATCTGCAACGACAAAGTTATTTTCGTTTGAATTACATTTAAGACTCACAATCAAACCAAAGTCCATGTAGTGAAGATTCAATAGAACCTGCCTCAATCCAAGTCAGGGCCTTCAAATTCTGTATATAATGGCTGACGACGTGTGGTCACAAAAGAACCATTTGCTAGCTTGAGTTAGATCATTAACAAAATAAATGTCTTGCAGGGTTTGAAGTACTAAATGCTGTACCCTATGATTACACAGCCAGTGCTGAGGCAAGTTTAGTTTTACTTCAATTAATTTTTATCCTGCATTGTTCATTACATTAATTACTTTGGTTAAATTTTCCGGAGAAATATATCTATTAAAATTTGTCCATCTGTATGTATTTTTTCAGTGTTTGGCAAATCCTCACAAACCCCAGTATGGTGGAGGGGTCATTGTAAACCCGGAACTAAATGAGGGTCTGAAAGGATGGTCTTCTTTTGACAATGCCAAAATACAACACAGAGAATCAAAAGGCAACAAATTCATTGTGGCTCTTGGCAGAAACCAACAACATGCCAGTGTTTCTCAGAAGGTTACTTTGCAAAGTGGCAAGCTGTACACATTTTCTGGTACGTGCACACGTAATTAGAACTTTCTCTTACCGGTTAATTTTGTAATCAGTAATTAGTAATTACTTAATGCAAAAGTAATATTACAATTCCTAAATATATGTGATTTGTGTTGATGCAGCTTGGATACAAGCAAGTAAGGGTGGTGTTCCAGTGACAGCAATGTTCAAGACAGGTAGTGGAACATATATGCGCGCTGGTTCAATTGTTGCAGAATCCAACTGCTGGTCCATGCTCAAGGGTGGCTTCCCTGCCAGTGCCTCAGGCCCAGCTGAGCTCTATTTTGAGGTACTTGTTACCAATTATCACATGAATCGGGCAACAAAAGTATTTTTATACCTCTATAAATCAATCTTCTTCTGTCAAAACATTCGTTGCATTAGACTTGTGATCGAATTGTCTAAAGCCTGGTTGAATTACAGGAATGAAGAACTGACCCATTCATTTCATTCTTTGTTACAAGCATATGCTCAATCTTCTATAACAGCTCTTACAATAACCTTTAATATTTCAGAGCAAGGACCCATCTGTTGAGATCTGGGTTGATAGCATCTCATTGCAACCGTTCACTGAAGAGGAGTGGAAGTCTCATCAAGATCAAAGCATCGCCAAGGTTAGTTTGGGGACATTATACTTAGTAAATTAATGAATTTTCATCCTGTAGAAATAAAACATGTATCAATCAAGCATCAGAATCTGTTACGTGTTTTCGATCACACCCAATGTACTAAAAAAATGTACCCTAGAAGGAATCAAATTGTTATGCTTGGATTTAATAAGGTTTCGTTACAGACACGTAGTTTTTTTGCAGATTCGTAAGAGCAATGTGAAAATCCAAGCAGTGGATAAACAAGGCAAACCGCTGGCAAATGCAAAAATCTCCATCCAACAGAAGTCTCCAACTTTCCCTTTTGGTTGTTCCCTCACCAAGTACATCCTCAAAAACACTGCCTACCAAAACTGGTTCTTATCGAGGTTCACTGTCGCAACTTTTGGAGATGAAATGAAATGGTACAGCACAGAGAATACTCAGGGGCATGAAGACTACTCCGTGGCTGATGCCATGCTTCAGTTTACCAAACAACACAACATTGCAGTCCGAGGCCACAACGTCTTCTGGGACGATCCATTCTACCAACTAGGTTGGGTCAAATCACTCTCTCCACAACAACTTGCTTCGGCTACTCAAAAGAGGCTAAATTCTGTCATGAACAAGTACAAAGGACAACTAATCGGGTGGGATGTCGTTAATGAAAACTTACACTTTAATTTCTTTGAAAGTAAAATGGGTGCAAATGCTTCAGCCCTCTTCTATAACTGGGCTATTAGAGCTGATGCAGCAACCACTTTGTTTTTGAATGAGTACAATACCATTGAGGAGAGCGCAGATGAAGCGACCACACCGGCTAAGTACCTTCGAAAGCTCAAAGAGATGCGAACATTTCCAGGAAATGAGAGAGGACGATTTGCCATTGGACTTGAGTCTCATTTTACAACTCCTAACATTCCTTACATAAGATCTTCTATTGATACTCTTGCAGCTGCCGGAGTGCCAATTTGGATTACAGAATTGGACGTGGCAAACGGTCCGAAACAGGTAAGAAATAAAGGAGATCACATTGTGTGCTTGAAAAGCACACGACTCAAATTCCAAATCACACACATAAAGCAAGGTCCAGAATAAACCCCAACTTCCCATTTGCATTAGATGAGTCTTCTAGATTACCAAGACACTTGATAATTGATTCTTTATCATTCTTTGATTCTCATATATAAAACATTTTCTAGATACATATACCGGCCTCTGAGGTGATACGTCCCAAGTTCGAATTCCCCTTCCCTTTTGATAAAAAAATAATGTAATTCTATAGTATTTGACTGAATACTTTAAATCTTGTGCATTATATATCAGGGATCATAGCATGCCACTTACAAGCTCAACTTTTTGTTTACATGGGCAGACATTATACTTGGAGCAGATTCTGAGGGAGACATACGCTCACCCTCACATTCAAGGAATTGTTCTGTGGGCTGGACCGACCGAAAAGGGATGTTACAGAATGTGTTTGACAGACAACATTAATTTCAAAAACCTGCCTAATGGTGATGTTGTGGACAAATTAATACATGAATGGGGTTTGAAGGGCTTGGTTTCTGGCACAACAGACGCTAAAGGTTTCTTTGAGGCCTCCCTTTCCCATGGAGATTACGAAGTGAGCATCACTCACCCAACTTCAAAATCCTCCTCCTTGGTTCAGAGATTGAATGTCAAACCAACTGCTTCGTCCCAGAAGCCATTGTTTCTCAAATTCTCTTCTTGAGATTTTGATTTCGATTGGGCCTTTTTGTTGTCCTGTTTTCATGGAACATTTAATTTTAGAATTACCCGGAACATACCAAAATTTCTATATTTTTAAGAAAACTCTCTGTATATATGCTATTTTTTGTAGAACATGTACATATGTAATTATATACCCTTTTGGCATTGAATAAATTTAATAATGATCTTCGAAATTCAGGGCAATACAGTAATTGAACTCAAGTTTTACTCCCCCGCTAAGGAAAACGTGTGACAATTGGTTTTCTTTTGTTCTTTTTTTTTTTATAATTAAAAAAATATAATGGGTAGTTGTGTTCCATAAAAATAAGATTCATTATCTGATTTTTCTTTTAATTTTAATTTTTTTAATATGAAAAAGTGTGAATTTACCATATTATCCTCACTAGCCTCTCCGCACGTGCTTCTGCACATGCGATATGCCTTTTTTTTTTTAAAATTAAAATTTATTTTAGAATTAAAAAAGATAATGGGTAGTTATGTTCCATAAAAATAGGATCAATTATCTGATTTTTCTTTTAATTAATTTTTTAAAAATATGAAAAAGTGTGAATTTACCATATTATCCTCATTTAATTAATAATTTCAATTCTCAATGTTTGCATTAACAAATGGTATTTTCTGGTATTTTGAATATTTCACCATACTCTGCTTTTTGCTTTATATATTT